AACTAACATTAAATTTCGAACCTTCCATGAGGACAGTTCAGGACAATATGTCTATCAACCAACTCCGGATACCTCTGAGTTACTCTCCTGCAATTAGGAAGATGTAATTAAATTCATTGGTGTTTGACCACACCCCTCACCATGAGACCACGCCTCCCCAGTCGTGGCCGACGAGGATGCAAGAGGAGTGGCCGAGGGCGGGGATGAGTTCGACAATGTCTGCAGTGAGGTGGTTGAAGGAGTATTCTGAGGACCCCACTGGGTGGTCCGTGTCACCATACCCTCTGTGGAGAGAGAGAAGCTACATAATTAAGGGGTTCCTTACAACATTTTTGATTATTTCTAAACTTCATGGGTTGAATTCTACTATATATGCCCACGCAATAAGGGTGTAACTTTTTGATTAAAACATCGTTCTCTTTTTTACACTACCTCATATCGACAGCCACCACATGGTAGTCTTTACTGAAGGCCCTTCAACTGATGACGCCACGAAAACCAGAACTGCATAACATTACGGGGGATAAAGTGAATGTGTGAGGAGTGTGAGATGTGAGGAGTGAGAGAGGTGACCTCGGGGAAGCCGTGAAGCAGCAACATGAGAGGTTTGGACGTGTCTCCTGCACAGACGCAGTGGAACTTTAGTCCATTGGCCGTCACGTACTCGTGGGAGCCCAGAGCAGGGTCCAACAGACAGGCTGGAGGGACTATTCAATTCCCACACTAACAACCACTGTTATTACTAGAGCTAGGCGCTTACTGTCTCTAGCTGTCCTTTTCAGCGCTTTGCGTGGGTTTCTGAGGAGCGCGAAGAGCACGTGCAGTAACTGTCCTACAGCGTACACGCAAAACAGAACGGCCACAGCAGCCAGCAAACGTAGTTTCTTCAGAGACATCTTTAGGATGCATGCACTTTGACCATTAAAATTTACAAAAATACGCGTCATAATGATGTAATTGGTAAAATTCACCAGGATTTTTATATATACACACAAAATGTTTTGCTGTTTCTTGTCAGCTTCTCCATTCATGTCAATTGCAGCCTGTGAGAAAGTCAGTCATGTACTGGTTGCAGAGGTCCGGCACATCTTGCTGGACCCAGTGACTGCAGTTGGGAATATGTCTGGAGAGAGAGAGAGAGGAGAGAGAGAGAGAGGAGGGGGTGAAGAGAGAATGACGACAACTTACTTCACAGTGAGGTTGCTGCAAACACTGTTGTGACGATCTGCCATCTCCTTCTTGAGAAACAAGTCACAATCTCCCTATAGAATCGGAAATTTCAGTGGCCGTTTAAATTTTTACTTTCTGCTTCCAACTCTTCACAACCCTGAAATTTCAATCTGGATCCTTTGTGCATTGCATGTCATCTTTTTATCTGCCAAGCATTAAAATTTGTGATTTTACAAAGACGACCTCCAATTAAAATTCTGTCCATATCTTTCTGGTTATGCAGTTTGGCAAATAGAGCAGAGACCAGAGATAGAGAGAGAACTAACCCACAGTAGGAGGGTTGGGATATCGATTGTCTTCCTGGTTCTGGGGAAGAGGAAGGAGCGAGTTTTGTAAATGGCACGTATGTAGTTGATGGGTCCAGTGAGCCCTCCTGGCCTGGAGAAAGAGTACTTGTAGGCCTCCACCACTTCAGCCGGGAACTGATCTCTGTTCTTGACTCCCTACAGCAGGCAACATGCAGAAGATAAAGAGAGAGAGATAGAAGTGAGAGAGAAGGTTTGGAGGAGACTCACGGCTTTCCTTCCTCTGAAGATAGCGTTAAAGTTTCGGTAGTCGTGCAGTCCGATAGTGAACTCGGGGAGCCAGGGCACTTGGAACATGAAGATGTACTGACATGCGGAAAAGAGTGAAGCTATATATAATGAACACACCCACATATCTAGCCATTATTAAACCTTTGTACCGTGGTTTACATAATTATAGTGAATAATGCTCATCTGCCACTAGGTCACGCATAACCTTCTGGTAAGTACAACGCAAAGTATGAGCTTAAACCTAACAAACGTGTACCACATACAGTTGCTACTCCTTACCCAGGACTTCAGGAGTTGGCCCCAGCCATTGGTCAACTCCTGTCCCATAATTCTGAGGGGAAAGAGAAGAAAGAGACATGTCACGTGTTAAAATAAAACAGGGAGAGACAAACTCTTAAGGCACAAGTTAGGTTGATCACAAATTCTCAGTGGTAGATCAGAAGATAGAATTAAGTCAACAAAAGTCTTCAGAAAGATTCCCAGTCAACACTACTATATACACACTACTGCGTCACATGATGTGTGCCTCTATAGTGTATTATGGTGTGCTATGTGTGACACTATTGTCTGGTGAGTGTATGTTGTACTCACGAGAGGTGGGGGCAGTTCATGATGACTAACTTGTCAATCAGTTCAGGGTTTGTGTCAGCAACTCGCCTGAAGGGAGAAACAACTCTCATCTCTTGTCAGCATTCTTGCATTGTCACTGACATTGCCCCCCTCTCTGCTCTATTTTGCTGTCTCTACACCTATCTAATCACTATCTCTGCAGTCATCACCGCTATCTCTCGTCTAGCTGAGAGAGTGCATGGAATGAATGGTCTAAAGTCCTCACCAGGCGACAGCTCCACCCCAGTCATGGCCGACGAGAACGCAGGCTGAGTAGCCGAGAGCTGGGATTAGATCAGCAATGTCTTTCCCCAGCTTGTCCAGAGTGTAGCTGGCCACCCCGTCAGGCTTGTCAGAGTCTCCATAACCCCTGGGGTCAGGGCACAGAATGTAGACAGAGGTCAACGAGAGTAAGCATAGAGTTGGCCCGATGTACATCTCCTTAATACATACATACTTAGAAAGAAGATGCCTGGTTTGAAAGAGGCATTTTGACCTAGCTACACGAAATCAAAAGTCAAGTAGAGAAGTGCAATGGAGTGGAGTATGCTATATATAGCAGTGCACAGTGAGCACATTATGGGCTAGCCAATTTAGTAGCTCTGCTATTACCAGATGCTATTGGTCGCCACACTAATTACTGGGTTTCGCTCCACTCCACATTTGCACACCACAAATTTCTTCTGTGTGACTATCGAGTAAAGCACCTTTATAACGAACACCTCTGACCTCATATCGACAGCCACCACATGGTAGTCTTTACTGAAGGCCTTCAACTGATGACGCCACGAAAACCAGAACTGTATAAAGGATTATGGGGGATAAAGTGAATGTGTAAGGAGTGTGAGATGTGAGGAGTGTGAGAGGTGAGGAGTGAGAGAGGTGACCTCGGGGAAGCCGTGAAGCAGCAACATGAGAGGTTTGGACGTGTCTCCTGCACAGACGCAGTGGAACTTTAGTCCATTGGCTGTCACGTACTCGTGGGAGCCCAGAGCAGGGTCCAGCAGACAGGCCGGGGGAACTGAAAGAAGAACAGCCAAAGTGTGGTACACAAACAATATGGCGATCTCACTTTCCCGAGTTGTTTTCTTCAGAGCCGTGAACGGGTGTGTCAGAATGGTGACTGCTACTTTCAGGAGGCCCAGAAGACCCCATAGAGCTATGAAGAAATACCCCAGGATGGGGAAAAGCAGACCAGCAAACGCCATACTGGCTCGCTTCAACGAGACACCGACGCGAGGCACTTTGGAGAGAGAACGCCCACTTGCTTACTGCGCATGCGCATAGCCGGATTTCCGCGAAATCCGGACGTCCCGTAAGAAAGTGCATCCGTTTTGCGAGAGAGAACCACTGAACCAACGTCCTTTCTTGTCTCGTCCGCCGTTCAGTGAGCTAGAGAGACCAGCCATAACTGCACTATTCAATAGTTCCATGGACAAGATGGACAGCTTCGATACGCCGACCGACACGAATTTCGACTACATGTACAAGGTTCTCATAGTGGGGAACTCTGGCGTGGGGAAGACGGCCTTCTTGATGCGCTACTGCGACGACAACTTCTCCCAGTCATTTGTGGCCACCGTTGGCATCGACTTCAAGGTCAAAAACATGTACAGGTGAGCCTATTTCTCGAGAGAGAGCGAGAAAATAATGCACTACGGGGCTAGCTAGTATGGCTATGATATCACAGCAGGCTTTCCTTAGTTTCCTTGATTCTGAGGGAAAGGGAAGAAGGGAGAGGGTAGAGCAGCAGGTTGGCAGGTAGCTGGGTCTTCTCAGAAGAACCCATATTTGCTCCCCTCTGCATTGCTAGTCTCCGGGGTGTGCGTGAGAAATGAAGAATTTGACTGCTAGGGGAGACTAGGCCACTTGGCACACGTAGCAGATGCTCCAGCGACACACTATGGTGTAGTATGCTGGTAGAAAACAAATTGAAATGCTAACTTTCCCACAAGTGAAAGCATGCAGGTATGCACCACCTGTACTAATGTACGTGGCTGGATACGTAGTTATCTAATTGCTGTTTCTCCCGTGATATAATGTTCGTGGATGACTCACAAATAGCATTACAGATGTACCACACACACATTCTTGGAACTAGGTGGATTAAGCCACTGCCAGTGTGTGTGTGTGTTTGTCTTGTACTGGGATCGTGTGCTGTGGCAGAGTATGTGTAGGGGTTGGTTCATAGGCTTCCCATTGAGCACTGTACATCGTCCAGTCAATTTCCTACATGTCTCCATTCTTTACCGCGTCCTTCATTTCCCCTTCCCTGTCCCTCTTCCTTTCTTAAACTTCCCCTCTCCCCTCTCCCTTCTCCCTTTTGCCCTTCCTCTCTCCTTCCCTCTGTCTCCTTTTCCTTCTCTATCCCCCTCCCTCCCTCCTTCTCTCTCTTCTCTTCTCTCTCTCTTCTCCCCCCTATCTCAGACAAGACAAGAGGATAAAGTTGCAGATTTGGGACACGGCAGGCCAGGAGCGCTACAGGACCATCACGACAGCCTACTACCGTGGGGCCATGGGATTCATACTCATGTTTGACCTCACAAACGAAGAATCGTTCCACGCCGTCAAAGGCTGGTATGCTACATTTACATGTGTCGTTTGTGTATAACTCGAAGAATCTTGTTAGGAAATCTTGTTATGAAACCTTAGACATTGGAAATTATAGCTGGATTCAGAGAATGGCAAAGATAGTGGTGTACTTAGCGTATTATAAGCTGGAATGCATGCGTGGTGGTGACTTATACCTCGAATTTGAGAACCTGGCTCTGTAGCCAGTGTTTCTGCTGTGTCCAGTTAACGATTTCTCTCTTTGAGTTTCATTGGTTTCCTACACAACTGACGCTGTGTTGAACCACCATGACTGAGTGTATAGTGGTCGTGTGCATTAGGTGTGTGTGTGTGTGTGCGTTTTACTGTGAGGTATTTGAAATTTCTTGTGAATTGAGGGAATGTTGCAAGTGGTGTGTACTGCATTCAGCCACCCTGGCCTCTGTAGTGCCGGGTTTTGCATTATCGCCCACAAGTGAAATACAAAATGCTCAGGAAGTTATGTGGAATGAAAATTCGTTCACATTCTATATTGTAGTCCAGTGTGTATATATACACCGGCTCACTTCCTGTAAGTATGAAACCACTGGTAGGACTGTTATGGCCAATTCCAGCGATTAAGTCATTCACACACACACCACACACACGGAGATGCATGTAGTAGCTCTCTCAGCCTGAAAGCCTCAGAACAAAAGGTTCCTTTTGTTAAATCTTCACATTATGTTCCCTTTCTTCCTCGATCCCCCTCTCCCCCTCTCTCCTTCCTCCTCCTCCCCTTCTCTCTCCTGTCCTCCCTGTCTCATTTGCCTGCAGGGCAGCCACAATCCAGGACCTGTCGTGGGAGAACGCCCGGGCAGTTCTGGTGGGCAACAAGAGCGACCTGACAGACAGTCGAACCGTCTCAGAGGAGCAGTGTCGAGAACTCTCCCAAACCCTCGGCTTCGAGTTCTTCGATGCGAGCGCCAAAGACGGCAACAACGTCAAGGGAGTGTTTGAGTACCTCGTGGATGCCATTTCCATCAAGATGGCGGAGAGCATAGAGAAGAACCCGAACTTCCTGCCGCGTGGGACACGCCCCAGAACTGTCGATCCTGCTGCCCAGGACACGAGTAGCTGTTCCTGTTGACAAACGCCGGCCCACATCCACTTTTTTAGTCTCTGAATTTTTACAATTATTTCGTGCAATAAACTCACGTTCACTCTCCCCCCACTGAATCACCAATCATGGACACATCTCTATGAATACATTTCCTCTCACCATAATTAATATCTCCACATGTCTAGGGTAGTATACACACACAGTATAATACCACTGTTAAAATATTTGTAACATTGTCTTAAAATTTTGCCATAGTGTAAAAAAAACGTAGATCGAAGGTTACATTTTGGTAGTGCCCCATTAAAAAAAAACATTGGCACATAAACAGGATAAAATTTATGTTGTCAGGTCCCTGGTATCAACAGCATATCTGATACAGAAGACTAATGATCGAAGCCGGAGGGAGGGGCTATGGAAAATTGCCAGATTTCAGTTAGTATTATCCCGGAGAGAACAATAGATGTGGCTGAGCCAGTAGAAGCATGGAGTACAAACAAACAATACCACAACTGACATGACAACACAATCACAAAAAGGGAAAGAATGCAATAAACTCCTCCTCCGTTGTGTTGTTAGATAAAGAGAA